GGTTAGTAGTTTATCTGCATCATTTTCATTTCGGCAAATGACTTTGAATCTTTCGTTCAGGTTGAATACCCTATTGAAGGGCACACCTAGTTCAACATATGCTAGGGTAATTAGTCTAGATTTATCGATAGGTTTGTTCTTATCTTTTACTTTTATTCTTATGTTCACTGTCATTGTGTATGTAGAAGGTTATTGGAGGCCCTTCTGTTTTACAAGAGACAACCCCCGCACAGTGGAGTGACTGCACGATCACAGTCGTCACTATGGGATCGGCCTGTTTGTCCCCGACCCCCAATGAACACACACAATCCCACTCAGCTGTGAGGTGTGCGCCACTGGAGGGGCTCTAGCATGAATACTTAAATAAAGCAGGTGCCTCGGCCAGGGTAAGCAAGGAAGGGTTTTAGTAAGAGAGAAAGATCCCAAAACCACGTCAGTACTGCTACTCAATAGCTGCCCTCCAGCAGGAGTGTAGGTCACTCACTCTACCCGTGGGGAGGGCTAACTAGGGTTGACAGTCCTGAACGCTCGTGAGGTAGTCCAGTGACGTTGGTGGTCGTTATCCAAAGGTGGAGGCCCACAAAGGGCGTTGCCCCAAACGGTATTTCTGGAGCGCCCAGTGATAATCACAGAGGTCGAGCTGTGGTTTGGTCGTCAACAGTATAAACAAGGCTGGCTGGCTGGCTCTGGCGGTCTGGGGTGTGGAGAGAGGTCCAATCACGGCGAAGGTCTCCTGGCGAGTCCAACCCCTATCGCTCATATATCCGTCCAACCTATAAATATAGCTACCCCATGTGTTCGAGTTACTGATGAAGTTCGGTAGCTAGTTCCACTTCTCCACTACTCTATTTCCAAGCCAGTGTTTACCTATCCCACGCATGTCTAATTTAAAACTATTCCTAAGCGTTCGCTCCTGGTTGGATAGTTTGTGTACCTTTGTTATATCACCTTTGTTTAACCCTGACTTCCATTTATACACCTTCATCATATCGCCTTTCACTCTACGTCTCTCGAGAGAGTGGAAATTAAGATGCATTAACCTGCCTCTGTACTCAAGGTTCCTAATGCCAGGTATTAGTCTTGTCATCCCCCTCTAAGTGCTCTCTATGGATTCAATATTCATTCTGTAGTACGGTGACCAGAACTGAACCGTATAATCCAAGTGAGGTCTCACAAGAACAAGATATAGTTTTAGGATAACCTCGCTAGTCTTGTAACTTGTTTCGAGCAAATACGCATTGTTGTCTTGATTTAAGATTCCTGCATGTCATTACACCCTAAATCTTTCTCACGGTCTGATTTCTCTAAAACAACGTTGCTCATCTGATATATGGTTTCTCTGTTTACATCTCCTACTCTTAGCTCTTTACATTTGTCCATATTAAATTTCATCTGCCATTTTTCAAACCAGGCAAAAAAAAATTTGTTTAGATCTTCCTGTAGCTTTACGGAGTCCTCGTCAAATTTACTTATGTTGGTGTCTACGCCAATATCTATGTCGTTTTTTGTATATAATAAATAATAATGGTCCAAGTACTGAGCCTTGGGGTACTCCACTAATTACCTTACCCCCAATCGGATTGAGTGCCGTGAATGCATAGAGAGGATTGGGGAGGTGAAGGAAAAGTGTGGACCAAGGAGAGGGTGGGGGCGGTGGAGAATGTATTAGCTCCTTAGTTTTTATATAAATGTGGAGTCGTACATTAATTTAATATAACTCCATCACCCTAGTAACTTTCCACTAGCTATGAAGTTCATGTTCAGAGCACGTGATAAGGTGTGCCCACGGGAAATCGCGTCACTTGGTGCTGAGCTAAGGATTAAGTAACCGGCTCTCTGGCCACCTATTGCGGGCAGTAGTTTGATGTCACTTACTAGAGGAAGACGTTATTTAGAGTCAACGTTGAGGTGACCCGTCTTCCTCGAGGGAGGACGTCGGAAATATTTCCGTTCTCCCTCGAGGGTCTCTACTCAAGATCACTCCCAGTCTCACATCAATCGGACGTATTTTAGAAGAGCTAATCTAAGTTAGCCTCCGTCCTTATTTTAACGCTCATAGCTACAGTGGTTAAGTTACGGTGATAATCCTGTTTCAAAGTGTACATAGAACCTTTTATAATAAACAAACGAAAGGAACATATTGGATTTCACAATAAACTTTGATCTATATTTTAGTACGTCGACAATATAAGGTAGCGTGCTTCAAGTGGTGATTGTTATAACCCAGGAAGGTTATTACATATACGACAGTTTTACAAGTAGCTGTTATATTCACGGTAACAGTCATCGTTACAGCTATCGTCACAAGAAGAAGTGTGGAGCATGGAGGGGGTTGGGGAGGTGAAGGAAAAGTGTGGAGCTTGCTGAGGTGAAGGAGAAGTGTGGAGCATGGGGAGGGTTGGGGAGGTGAAGGAAAAGTGTGGAGCATGGAGAGGGTTGGGGAGGTGAAGGAAAAGTGTGGAGCATGGGGAGGTGAACGAGAAGTGTGGAGCATGGAGAGGGTTGGAGAGGTGAAGGAAAAGTGTGGAGCATGGAGAGGCGGAAGTGTGGAGCATGGAGAGGGTTGGAGAGGTGAAGGAAAAGTGTGGAGCATGGAGATGGTTGGGGAGGTGAAGGAAAATGTGGAGCATGGAGAGGGTTGGAGAGGTGAAGGAAAAGTGTGGAGCATGGAGAGGGTTGGGGAGGTGAAGGAAAAGTGTGGAGCATGGGGAGGTGAACGAAGTGTGGAGCATGGAGAGGGTTGGAGAGGTGAAAGAAAGTGTGGAGCATGGAGAGGGTTGGGAGGTGAAGGAAAGTGTGGAGCATGGGGAGGTGAACGAGAAGTGTGGAGCATGGAGAGGGTTGGAGAGGTGAAGGAAAAGTGTGGAGCATGGAGAGGGTTGGGAGGTGAAGGAAAAGTGTGGAGCATAGAGAGGGTTGGGGAGGTAAAGGAAAAGTGTGGAGCATGGAGAGGGTAGGGAGGAAGAAAAAGTGTGGAGCATGGGAAGGTGAAGGAGAGTGTGGAGCATAGAGAGGGTTGGGTAGGTGAAGGAGAAGTGTGGAGCATGGAGATGGTTGGGGAGGTGAAGGAAAAGTGTGGAGCATGGAGAGGTTGAGGTGAAGGAAAAGTGTGGAGCATGGAGAGGGTTGGGGAGGTGAAGGAAAAGTGTGGATGGGGAGAGATGTGGGAGCATGGAGAGGGTTGGAGAGGTGAAGGAAAAGTGTGTGGAGAGGGTTGGGGAGGTGAAGGAAAAGTGTGGAGCATGGGGAGGTGAACGAGAAGTGTGGAGCATGGAGAGGGTTGGAGAGTGAAGGAAAAGTGTGAGCATGGAGATGGTTGGGGAGGTGAAGGAAAGTGTGGAGCATGGAGAGGTTGGGGAGGTGAAGGAAAAGTGTGGAGCATGGAGAGGGTTGGGGAGGTGAAGGAAAAGTGTGGGCATAGAGAGGGTTGGGGAGGTAAAGGAAAAGTGTGGAGCATGGAGAGGGTAGGGGAGGTGAAAGAAGTGTGGAGCATGGGAAGGTGAAGGAGAAGTGGGAGCATAGAGAGGGTTGGGTAGGTGAAGGAGGTGTGGAGCATGGGGAGGTGAAGGGAAGTGTGGAGCATGCTGGGGTGAAGGAGAAGTGTGGAGCATGGGGAGGGTTGGGGGTGAAGGAAAAGTGTGGAGCATAGAGGGTTGGGAAGGTGAAGGAAAAGTGTGGAGCATGGAGAGGGGTTGGGGAGGTGAAGGAAAGTGTGGAGCATGGGGAGGGTTGGGGAGGTGAAGGAGAAGTGTGGGCATGGAGAGGTTGGGGAGGTGAAGGAAAAGTGTGGGCATGGGGAGGTGAAGGAGAAGTGTGGAGCATAGAGAGGGTGGGGGTGGTGGAGGAGGTGTGGGACATGCAGGGGTGGGGTGGTGGAGGAGGTGGGACATGGGCAGTGTGGGGGTGGTGGAGGAGGAGTGGGACATGGGCAGTGTGGGGGTGGTGGAGGAGGAGTGGGACATGGGCAGGGTGGGGGTGGTGGAGCAGGAGTGTGGGACATGGGCAGGGTGGGGGTGGTGGAGGAGGAGTGGGGACATGGGCAGTGTGGGGGTGGTGGAGGAGGAGTGGGACATGGGCAGGGTGGGGGGTGGTGGAGGAGGTGTGGGACATGGGCAGGGTGGGGTGGTGGAGGAGGGGGGACATGGGCAGTGTGGGGGTGGTGGAGGAGGAGTGTGGGACATGGGCAGGGTGGGGGTGGTGGCAGGAGTGTGGGACATGGGCAGTGTGGGGGTGGTGGAGGAGGAGTGGGACATGGGCAGTGTGGGGGTGGTGGAGGATGAGTGTGGGACATGCGCAGGGTGGGGGTGGTGGAGGAGGAGGAGTGTGGGACATGGGCAGTGTGGGGGTGATGGAGGAGGAGTGTGGGACATGGGCAGGGTGGATAGGTTGGGAGTAACAAATGGAGGAGAGGAGAGAGTAAACACCAGCAAGGAGGACAGGTTCTCAGGTGGCCAGTGTCTGGTGTGAAAGGTGGAACGCTGGCCGGAAGGGATGAAGGATGGTTCCGTGGAGTAGAGATGCCATCGTCGGTGACTGGTTGGGGGGGGAGGGGGTAACCGAGGGTTTAAAGGAGGGTGAGCGTCGTGCACTCTCTCAGTTCACCTTAGGTCTTCGTGTTCGTCATACCTTCTCTTCTCACTGCAGGTGATCACATCTGCTGTAATATCCTCACGTACTTCAAGATAATATGAGTCCTGCCAACGCGATGGTATTTGGCGCCATCAAATTGAAAAAAAAAGAGGAAATAATGTGTTATTGGAAGACAAATATTTGTGTAATTTCCCATATAACAATGCTTGAAAATGAATCCCATGGTGTTGGTTAACGGAGAATCGATTCTAGAGAAAAATTATGTTTTGGTATTACATTTATTCTTATTATGGTCAAGGCAAGAAGTCCAGAATATATTTTCTTGGTATCAGTTGATGTATCAGCGATACCATTAATAGCAAGACCATGAATAAATATATAGAACTTTATTTATAATTTCAAAAGTGAGTAAATATTTATCTTATTTTCGTCGAGGATTTAACATATAGAAAACTGGCGACCAAATGATGCTTGAACATCAAGACTCCCCGGTACTCCATCAACCATCCATACACGAGTAGAAAGTACAGTGCAATAATCATCATCAAATTTCAGCTGAATGAAGGTTGCGAGTGATACACCACGGAGTTCAACAGCGTCATGCCGTCGCTTTCATGATAGTGTTGGAGTGTGGCCAAGTGATGAGGCCAGCGTGGGTGTGAGTACCTCAAGACCGCGTGCCAGGCCAGGTGGAATGTCAATAGTCAGGTCTAAGGCCCGACTATCTCCCAAGTCTAGGCACTGTACAGTATATTGTTGCATCACCTGAAAATTGGTACACCAGCTTCTTTCACCTGAAGAATAAGCACCCTAATGCTACCTGTGGCGGCTAGGTTAGGTGTTTAATCTTGAGGTGAAATATGCTGAGGTGCCTAACCTTCAGGTGAGTTTTCAGACCTAAAAGTCGAAAATAATTAAAAATAACATTGTATTTCTGTAGTAGACCCGTGAAAGCCTTAAGATTTCTCTATATAATATATATTAGCTCAACTCTACTATACCTTTTCCACGCTAAGCTGGCGCCCCGCCCCTCGTCTTTAGCTACCTCAATTGTTCCCCTGAGCGTTTTACCTCCCCCGGACTGTGCGTATATAAGCGCGTATTTTATGATAAATATATAATATTTTCTATCATTCTCTCTGAAGTGCTAATGCCTTGAAATCATTTGCACTTTGAGAATCCAGATATTTAACATTATTTTAGATAATAACAGATCTGCTTACCATTTGTGAACTCATTTAGTTTGAATTTTCTTTGAACCAATCAGCTATTATTGTAGTATAGAAGAGGGGCGTGGCTTACGGGCCAAGTTAGCGTGGAAATACTATAGGCCTAAGTTTGAAGTCCAACTCTTAAATCATATTTCTAATCCTGTCTAGTGAAGCCAGAGGAGGTGGCTTCTGGTGGTTTGTTAGGTCCTTCGTTACACACAAACTAATGATTTTTTTTTAACAAACTTTTCATAAATTTAGAAAATAATAAGATAAAACTACGTTAAAAGGTTTCTGACTAGATAAAATACCAAGTGGCAGATACCGTTGAGAGATGTGTATTTTTTTTACGTTGAAGTTTATTTTCAGTTTAGTAATACCTAAAGTTTGCAATGATTTATGACTTATTCCTTTAATAGGATGGAAAATAAGAAATAAGCATGAGAGAAAAACAAAAAGTTCATCTTACGGATGTTTATGTACACAAATTATCCATATGTCTCAAGAAACACAGAATTATGTGAGTTATTCTACCATGTGATACCTTGAAGATTTTAATATTTCCTGGTGATTGATCTAAGGATGCGGGTTACTTCTACCTTCTTCAACAGTGATCCTGTATGACTAACTCAACACAGCTGGGGAAGCTACATTTGTATTTGGGTGTTTGATATTAAGGTAATAAAATGGTGGCGAAGGTGTGGTTATTGGAGGAGGCTGGAGGCCACGTTAAAAAAGACCCTTAAGTAATGTGAGTCCCGCCTTCTTTAGGAAAAGTTTTAGAGTCAATTGTAATGTATGGCAAGTAATCCTTATACACCTTTACCGCTTTATTTCCTTTTTATTTTTATATCCTACTTTTACAAATATAAAAGCGCAGGGGAGAGGTCAAACAAGTGTGGTTGTTGTTGAAGCAATTGATCGAGTGCACAACTAGACGAGCAAACCAAAAACATCTAATGAATTGGTTTTTTGAAAATGATTTAATCCTAGAATATACTTTTCAGCAGAAAAATTTAAAGATGAATAAGACTACTCCGTTCCTTTCCTCTGCAGGATTATAATGTTTATGCCGAGGTATGCGTGGGCGGCGGTGCTGGTGCTGGTATGGGCGGCACCTACTTCCGTGAGGACGGAGAAACTTTCAGCCTTCCAGCGCGGTCAAAACAGAGAATTTGACCTCAGCAATGACAATTTTAATTTCAATCTCAGACCAGGCATTCTTTCTGGTCACGCTATCAGGTCGAGTGAGGTGGGGCTCTCCACTCCTCAGAGTTTTCTAACCCCCGCCACCCCTCTGTTAGTGCTGGACGCGCCACCGGCACCCATACCCACCTTCCCTCCGGCCACTTCCAGTGAAGAATTCACATTTCCCATTAGGAGACCAACAGTAATCCCGCACCGACCATTACCCATCATCCCACAAGGGCCTGTTGCAGGCTTCCCTCAGGGCCCCGTCCCTGCCATCAACGGTAGGTAGCCATAGTCGCCTGACCATGTCATGTGATGCAGTTGTCTCTGTCACTGATATTTCATCACATAATGTTTGTGTTCAGAATATGGCAATAATAACCAGAAGTTTGTCCTTAAAACAATCAATATTAAAGTAAAGTCTGTTATAATATACTTCAATGTGAATACAGTGAAAGCAAATTTACTAAGGTGTTCAGGAAGGTACTGTGTTCATCACAGCGCTCCTGTAATTTCCTGTATTGTCAAATTTTTGACGCTGTTGACCCTAATGAGTCGTAAGTGTTATAAGAATTACATTTTCTACGAGATGCTATTATTCTTATGAGTTATCGGAGCGTATCTTCCTACAGCCTTGTACGACGTGCCCAACGCGGAGACGAGCCCACAGAGCACCCGGGGCTCCTGCCGACCCCAAACCGTCGTGGTCACTTCCAGGAATGTTGTGGTGTCTACCAGAGTGTCCGTCTCACAGGTCAGTGACAGGTGAAGGAGGTAGAGGAATTTATTTTAGAGGAAGATTAGAGAAACTAGGGGCAGATAAGTGAATAAGGATATTCACAGAAAATAGGGGTTATTTTTTCCTGAACTATAGGTACAGTATATATTGTCTTCTCCTACCACCCCATCTTATGTTTATAATAATTTACAATCTTACTCTTTATAAATATCTTATTCATTCCAATTCAAAGGATCACTCGAGTTCCTCAGGTCAGGAGCGAGATCCAAGTGTGCAACAACATTCCCATTCCGGACTACTTCACTCAGGCTCTGGAACAAGTAGCTTGATGCTCTTATGTCTCTGGTAGTTTCAATGGGCCTGGAACCCAGGCTCATATATATATATATATATATATATATATATATATATATATATATATATATATATATATATATATATTATTATTATTTTCTACTGGATTAGCCCACCAGGGCACAGGTCAATGACCCACATCAGGGCCTGAGGGGCAAAAATGTAACAATATAATAATAATAATAATATTAATAATAATAATAATAATAATAATAGTTCATAGTGAATAAAATTTATAATACAAAATACAAATTAAAAATAAAATAATAATAACATTAATATTAATAATAACAACACTGATAATAATAATAATAATAATAATAATAATAATAATAATAATAATAATAATAATAATGATAATGATAATAATAATATTAATATTAATATTAATAATAAACACAAAAATGAAAAAAAAGATCAATAGTGAGAAACAATATAATTACGTATATTGTGTTGTCAAAGTAAGAGAAACAATTGAGACCCTGGAATTGTGTGTAAATGAGGCAGAAAGTCAGATCAGCAACCTGGGACTTGGTCACAATTTTCTTGATGCCATATGGCAACAGGGTCTACCATTAGACAAAACATTATGCTTCCAATATCTTCCCAGGCGGTAGTACCTCCCGGTTTTGTGTGTGTGTGTGTTACAGGTTATGAAAGTAGAGTTCTTACCGAATCGGTAATATGTTTAAGTAAGGTTAATAGTTAGGTTAGGTTAGGTAATTACCTCCATTAAGTGTAATACACACACATACGCTCACTGTTATACTAGGGTAATGTTGTGTTCCCAGGTGGTGGTGCCGACCACGGTGGTACAGAGGGTCACCTCCACGGCATACCAGGTCCAGACAGAGTTACAGACCTCCTACGTCACAGTCCAGGGTCCTACTCAGGTGAGGCTAGTGTTTTCGTGTGAGTCTGTCCATTCCAGATGAGTCTATCACTCCCAGAGGAGTCTATCACTCCCAGATGAGTCTATCACTCCTAGATAAGTCTATCACTCCTTGATGAGTCTATCACTCCTTGATGAGTCTATCACTCCCAGATGAGTCTATCACTCCCAGATGAGTCCATCACTCCCAGATGAGTCTATCACTCCTTGATGAGTCTATCACTCCTAGATGAGTCCATCACTCCCATATGAGTCTATCACTCCTAGATGAGTCTATCACTCCCAGATGAGTTTATCACTCCCAGATGAGTCTATCACTCCTAGATGAGTCTATCACTCTCAGATGAGTCTATCACTCCCAGATGAGTATATCACTCCTTGATGAGTCTATCACTCCCAGATGAGTCTATCACTCCTAGATGAGTCTATCACTCCTAGATGAGTCCATCACTCCCAGATGAGTCTATCACTCCTAGATGAGTCTATCACTCCCAGATGAGTTTATCACTCCCAGATGAGTCTATCACTCCTAGTTGAGTCTATCACTCTTGATGAGTGTATCAGATGAGTCTATCACTGAGTCTATCACTCTTGATGAGTCTATCACTCCCAGATGAGTCTATCACTCCTTGATGGGTCTATCACTCCCGATGAGTCTATCACCCTTGATGAGTCTATCACTCCCAGATGAGTTTATCACTCCCAGATGAGTCTTTCACTCCCAGATGAGTCTATCACTCCTAGATGAGTCTATCACCCTTGATGAGTCTATCACTCCCGATGAGTCTATCACCCTTGATGAGTCTATCACTCCTTGATGAGTCTATCACTCCTTGATGAGTCTATCACTCCCAGATGAGTCTATCACTCCCAGATGAGTTTATCACTCCCAGATGAGTTTATCACTCCCAGATGAATCTTTCACTTAGATGAGCTCACCCCAGATGAGTCACTCCCAGATGAGCCCTCACTCCTAGATGAGTCTATCACTCCTTGATGAGTCCATGATGAGTCTATCACCCTGATGAGTCTATCACTCCCAGATGAGCCTATCACTCCCAGATGAGTCTATCACTCCTTGATGAGTCTATCACTCCTTGATGAGTCTATCACTCCTTGATGAGTCTATCACTCCCAGATGAGTCTATCACTCCCAGATGAGTCTATCACTCCTAGATGAGTCTATCTCTCCCAGATGAGTCTATCACTCCTAGATGAGTCTATCACTTCTAGATGAGTCTATCACTCCTAGATGAGTGTATCACTCCTAGATGAGTCTATCACTCCTAGATGAGTCTATCACTCCTAGATGAGTCTATCACTCCTTGATGAGTCTATCACTCCAAGATGAGTCTATCACTCCCAGATGAGTCTATCACTCCGAGATGAGTCTATCAATCCCAGATGAGTCTATCACTCCCAGATGAGTTTATCACTCCCAGATGAGTCTATCACTCCTAGATGAGTCTATCACTCCTAGATGAGTCGATCACTCCCAGATGAGTCTATCACTCCCAGATGAGTTTATCTCCAGATGAGATGAGTCTATCCTCCAGATGAGTCTATCACTCCCAGATGAGTTTATCACTCCCAGATGAGCTTATCACTCCCAGATGAGTCTATCACTCCTAGATGAGTTTATCACTCCTAGATGAGTCTATCACTCCCAGATGAGTCTATCACTCCTAGATGAGTCTATCACTCCTAGATGAGTCTATCACTCCCAGATGAGTTTATCACTCCCAGATGAGTCTATCACTCCTAGATGAGTCTATCACTCCCAGATGAGTTTATCACTCCCAGATGAGTTTATCACTCCCAGATGAGTCTATCACTCCTAGATGAGTCTATCACTCCTAGATGAGTCTATCACTCCCAGATGGATGAGATGAGTCTATCACTCCCAGATGAGTTTATCACTCCCCTCCTAGATGAGTCTATCACTCCTAGAGATGTCTATCACTCGATGAGTCTATCACTCCCGATCGATCTATCACTCCTATCAATCCCAGATGAGTCTATCACTCCCAGATGAGTTTCACTCCCTATCAAGATGAGTCTATACACTCCCAGATGAGTCTATCACTCCTAGATGAGTCTATCACTCCCAGATGAGTTTATCACTCCCAGATGAGTTTATCACTCCCAGATGAGTCTATCACTCCTAGATGAGTCTATCACTCCTAGATGAGTCTATCACTCCTTGATGAGTCTATCACTCCAAGATGAGTCTATCACTCCCAGATGAGTTTATCACTCCCAGATGAGTCTATCACTCCTAGATGAGTCTATCACTCCCAGATGAGTCTATCACTCCCAGATGAGTTTATCACTCCCAGATGAGTCTATCACTCCTAGATGAGTCTATCACTCCCAGATGAGTCTATCACTCCCAGATGAGTCTATCACTCCTAGATGAGTCTATCACTCCCAGATGAGTCTATCACTCCCAGATGAGTCTATCACTCCCAGATGAGTCCGACATGTTTAAGTGGCGTGACCCGCATAGTACGAGGAAGAGGCTTATATACTCTGAAATGATCTATTCTAGCAATCATCTGTCAGACAAGATCACCTGACCATGAAGACTAAGGCTGAGTGTTTTTATTTTCTTCTTTTCACATGTGTTTCTCCCGTATATTATTAGAAATATATTATGAGATACTTTGAAGCGAACAAATTATAACTTTTATTGTTATAACTTAATTTAACTATCATGCGAGGCATAAGCTTCGTTAATTACAGTATTATTTTTATCGATCAACTTAGCTAGTTTAAATATTTTTCTGAAGTTATATTTAACGTTTATTGAGGATGGAAATATGAGTCAGGTCAATTTGGCTCAGGTGGGAACTTATTCTAACACAGGCATGAATTGTGTAATCAGTCTGGTTTAGGTGTAAACTGTGTAAGAAGTCAGGTTGGTTTAGGTATGAAGTGAGTCACGTTAGGCTTGAGGATAGTGTAGATCAGTTGTCTGTAATGTTGTTTGATGTGAGGTAATGTTTATAAATCATGGCTAATGTTGTGTGATGTTAGTGCGTATGTGTGCGCAGCCACACGTAGGGTGGTTAAATGCATCTAGAGTAGCAGCATATGTTAGTGTTAAGGTGCAAGCACTGCTTACTCCCCCTCGCTTTCAGCTGCCGCCACTGGCTAGCCCTCGTGGCGAACAGGGAAGCAACTTGCATTCTTCTTCCCGGCCAGTACATCCTCCTCACCATCAAGACTCATGCTGTGCCTCCTCGTGGCAACACACGGTAACTGGGTGCCTCGTGGGCCGAGGATAGATCAGCATCTCGGAGTAGCAGTGGGCCCCAGAGGGATGGCGCATAGGCCCACTGGCATGTGGACACGTCTTGAAGCCTACCAACCACGTCCCGCTGCCTTGCGGACTAATCTTGGCAGATATAAGGCTACGGGAGTAAACCCCGAGCGAAAAACCTGCAGTGGAGCCCTGCATCAGGCAGACATGCTTACAGAGCTCCAACAAGACCCCAACAGCGGTGTAGGCGGAAGAGGTGACCACAGTGGAAACCCAACGATTACACTGTGAGACGAAGGCTATGCCTGATGGACAGACTACTGAGGCGAAACCCAAACTGGGCTATCGGCAGTCCATTGCGGCTGTCCCTCTCCCCAGTCGATGCACCACTGGATTAGGAAAAGGGAGAGCCAAGATGTGTGGTTGCAGCCTGTGTCCCCGCCTCACCACATAAATCATCTCACGCACAGCCATCATCCAGTTCATAATACCTTTCATCATCATTTAAACCCCTATACCCCCAAAAGTCCTATGGCGAGTGGCGACGGGGACAGGCAGAGATGACTGCCGGGAGTCTCTAATCACAACTCGGCACATGGGCGGCACAGATAAGATGGTTGTTTATGCGCTGGGATCTAGGCAGCTGTGCAATCCGGTCCTGTCTTTGCGACTGAGCAGCCCTTTCGGGGAGCCACTCTGCTCACCCCACATGCGGAGGGGCTAGAAGAGGTGCACTAAATATATCCTGCCTAAAAACCCAACCTGATTGGGCAACTGCACCCATTAAGGTCATCCTTATGAGTTCGAAAACATACCCAAAATCACAGATCCGAATAAAAACAAAACATACAACCTCTTATGGTCGCTGTGTGGAATGTCAGGACCCTTCTGGATACTGGCACAAATATGCATCATGAAACAAGAACTGCCCTTGTGGCAAAAGAGCTGGCTAGGTATATCATCGACATAGCAGCCATCAGTGAGTCCCGGCTCCCAAATGAGGGCCAACTCACAGAACGGGGGTCTGGCTATACCTTCTTCTGGAAGGGTAAACCGGCTGCTGAGAGAAACCGCATTTATGGAGTTGGCTTTGCCACCCACCAACGCATCCTACACAGGCTAACTGAAATGCCTGTTGGGATCAATGAGCGCCTCATGATGCTTGGAGTCCCACTAAATCACTCATGTCATGCCTTCTTCATCAGTGCATTCCCCCCAATACTGGATGCAGAGCATGACATCAAGGAGGCCTTTAACGCCGACCTCGACAGAGTGCTAACCTCTATCCCCAGAGAAGACAAGGTTGTGCTCCTTGGCGACTTCAATGCCAGATTTGGTAGAGATACTGACATTTGGCAGGGAACCATAGGGAGAGATGATCTAGGCAAGTGTAATCCCAACGGCCTACTCCTCCTCAACAGGTGTGCAACGCACAACCTCACGATCACCAATACCTTGTTTAGGCAGGCCGAAAAGTACAAGGGTTCCCGGCAAAACCCACGATTCAAACACTGGCATCTCATTGACTACATCATTGTCTGAGAAAGAAATCGCCGAGATGTCCTCATCACCTGTGCCATACGTGGCCCAGACCACTGTGACACCGATCATCGACTTGTCAGATCCAAGCTCTCACTTCATGTGGCCCGAAAACGGCGAGGGAAGCAAGCCTCCAGAAGAGGTTTTAATACTAAGCGTCTGGAGGATCCAGCGGTAGCACATGCTTTCAGAGAGCAACTCGAACATGGGCTTATAAACAACCCAACAGGAAACAGCGTGAATCCCATTGCCGAATGGGATACTCTTAATACTGTTACGACAAAAACCAGCAGAGAGACCCTCGGCCAGATCAAAAGATTACACCAGGACTGGTTGGATGATAATGACCCGGCAATCAAAGTACTCATCGATGATAAACGTGCTGCTTTTACTGACTGACAGAACAACCCTCAGTCTAGGACCAAAGCTGATACCTTCCGCAAGAGGAAAGCAGTAGCCCAGCGGTAACTTCGCAATCTGAAGAACGACCGGTTTAAAAATATAGCATGTGAAGCACAAAAACTTGCAAATCAGCACAAGATGCGCGAATTTTTCATTTCCACTAAAACATTCTATGGGCCAGTCACTCGTGGCGCAGCCCCCCTCCGCTCATCTGATGGTAACCTCATAATTAAAGACAATGAAGGCCTCTTTCAGTGCTGGAAAGAGCACTGCCATTTATTGTTCAACCGAAACACCGATGTGGATGTTCTGACTACCCAACAGGTCCCTCAACATCCAGAGCTGACCCACCTCAGCTATCCTCTATCCCTGGATGAGGTAGCTACTGCCATCAAACAGATGAAAAATAACAAAGACTCAGAGCCTGACGGAATCCCTGCCGAGGTGTATAAAGCAGGAGGACCTCTGCTTACCAGCCGTCTTCACTCTCTCCTGGAGAATATATGGGAAAAGGAGGAAATCCCCCATTCTCAAAAGATGCCTACCGTGGGATCTCGCTGCTCTCCATAGCTAGCAAGATTATCGCCCGAGTCCTCATAAACAGACTTCTTCCTGAGGCGGAAAACTTCCTCCCAGAATCTGAATGTAGTCTTAGACCATCACGTGGCACCACTGATATGATATTTGCTGCCTCCAGATACAGGAAAAATACAGAGAAAAGTGTCGTGACCCATACAGCGACCTAACCAAGGCCTTCGACTCGGTCAACAGGGAAGCCCTCTGGTGGACCCTCAGCCGTTTTGGGTGCCCACCAAAATTAATCGCCATTGTGAGGCAACTCCACGATGGCATGAATGGTAATGTCCTGCACAACGGCACCGAGTCAGAGTTCTTTCCCACCCAAACAGGGGTTAAACAAGGGTGTGTATTGGCAACAACTCTCTTTTCCATCTTCTTGGCTGCATTCCTTACTCGTGCCAGTGACAATTTTGCCAGCGGGGTGAACATCGAGTACTGGGTGAAGGGGGGTCTTTTCAACATAAGACGACCCCAGGCAAGGCCAAAGGTGTCGGCAGCTTCCATTACTGAACTTCAGTATGCAAACGCGTATGCACACTTCGGCCTTGAGGTGAATGTACGCAAGACTCAGATTCTCTTTCAACCTGCCCCTGGTTCAGACACACCTTCACCATCCATCCAGCTTAGTGGTACTACCCTCTATAATGTTGCCCACTTTTGGTATCTTGGCTCCCACCTGTGCAGTACTGCAGACATCGATGAAGAGATTCAGCATCGGATCAGATGTGCATCTCAAACCTTTGGCAGACTCCGAAATCGTGTCTTCAGCTTTAGGGAGCTGAAAATATCTACAAAGCTGCACGTATATCGAGCAGTGGTTTTTCCCCACTCTGATATATGGCAGTGAGACTTGGGTCACATACAGGAGGCACCTCAGGGCACTTGAAAACTTTCAACAACGTAGTCTACGTTCCATCCTCCGAGTTCGCTGGGAAGACAAGAGAACAAATGCCAGTATTCTTGTTGACCCCAACTGTAGGAGCGTCGAGGCTACCATTATCCATGAACAACTACGTTGGACTGGCCATGTTACCCGCATGGACGACAGTAAACTGCCAAAGCAGCTACTTTACAGTCACCTAACGAACGGTAAACGTAACGCCGGCGGGCAATTTGAAAGGTATAAGGATAGTCTTAAGACAAACCTGAAAGGTGCCAAATCGACCCCCACACCTCGGAGTCGATTACTCCACATCATATCGCTTGGAGGAGCACCGCACGATAAGGTGTCAATGCTTTTGAGTTAGCCCGACTGCAAACCGAGGCAAACAAGCTCTAACGCCGGAAAGACGCTGCCACCGCCCCTCCCATAACAGATGGAGCCCTCCACATGTGCAACGAATGTGAACGACGCTGCGGGTCCCGTACCGGTCTCTTTAGTCACCTCAAAACTCACCAACCTAGGTGACATCCCTAATATCTCATATCATTGTATCATAGCTGGATGATCGTCATACTCGATTCCGAGTGACAGCAAAGTAAAAAGTTAAAAATTAAAAATGCTTATGTAGTGGCTAATGTTGTTTGATGTTAGGTAATGTTTATATAGTAGCTAGTAATTGGTATTGTTTATAGAGGTAATGTCACCAATATTGTTTGCATAATATGCAAGCAATATTGTTTGCATATAATAGATTCGTTATTCTTATTTAGTGAGAAAAAAATCATGTGGTGCCCTAAACTATACAATAAATTCTCATGTGTAAACGGTTCCATAAATTTATAATCATACAGGACTTCGTTGAACATTTTCATGGGTGGTATTGATGGTTTTACAGGTGGTGACGTCACGAGTGGTAGAGGCCCGCTACGTGACACAGACGACAACAGTCACCAGCCCCGTACTACAAACGGTCACCAGCATCACTACGAAATACCAACAGCAGTACGTCACCAATACGCAAACGCAGTACGTCCCAAACACAGCCTGTCCCTCAACTCCCATGATGGGGTATTCTTACTCTAAACCTACTGCCGACAGTGCCTTGAATGCGGATAGTGGTCAATACGACGACGCCGTTGTCAGACCTTTGCCAGGTGGCTACTACGGCAGCGCCATCAGCACCACCGGCTACCAAGGACCATTCTACGGTCCGTTCTACACCATGCCCATCGGCTATCAGAGTAGGAAGAAGGGAGTATTTTCCAAGTGGTGATTATAGACGAAGGACTCCTTCCTCCACCCGCTGGCGGCCTCGAAACACTACCTCTACATGATCCATTCTGTGTTCTGTACACTTTTATATGATCTTAATTTAGACTAAAGTGAAACTAGGAAATAAGTGCTGTTAGCAAAATAAAGGCAATTAACAAATAATGACTTTAATTTTGTTCAATTTACAGTATGTTAAATATGGTAATTTTGTATATAAAGTAGATGTTAATGTATGTAGTGTATAATTTATCCTTCTATAAGAGATTAGTAACGTTAAAAACGATTGATGCAGTGCGGGATTTTTTCTTATTCTTCCTTTTATCAACACAGATGACTTAACTCACTTCGGGAACACAACACAACACAACACAACACAACAACACTAATCCTGTTTATTCTAGACTAATTGTATATAAATTTTAATTAGTACCTGATAAAATATGACACGAAGCAAGAAATATATTTTTATTGTAATAATCCAAATACAGTATATGTAATTATAGGCGAGTCCTTTACCAGAATAAAGTACGAAAATCTGTACACCCCATAGTTCATTCTTAAACTTTTCTACTCCCTTTAATTAGTCTTCTGGTGGGGAAAGATATGGGGCATCCATTCTCATTAACTTCATCTCTTGCCCCTGAACAACCATGAACACACACAATAAACGAATCTCGGGCGTTTTTTTTTTTTCTTCGTCTCCTAAAGGTCCAGCGGCATTGTCTCCCGTGCTTGGGGTCAGTGTGTTACAGCGAGCTAGCAAGTCCTGTCCCAGAAAATAAAGCCTTGAATAATAAACATAACTACAGAAAACTTATGAAGGAACAAGCACAAAATCAAAATAGGAACATGGAATTTGTGAACATTAATATGTGGCTGTTAGGTAGGCAAATATTTGCAAGGAAATGAAAAGATAAAGTGAAGTATGATGGACAGTTTCAAATAGCATAAATGTTGAAGTCTTGTACTTCATACATTCAGCCGGTAAAAAAACAAAACAATATTAAAGAGGTGTTGGTATTCTTGTAAACCCGAAGATTGAGCAGCAGTAGCAAGGGATAATGGGCAGTGTCAGGTAGAATTATGTTAGTGAAGTTTAATGCTGAACCCATGGAATGGGTAATAACATAGGTTTATGTACCAACAAGTGATAGTGAGGATGAAGCCTTAGAATATTTTTATAAAGACTTAAAGAAGACAAAAGACACTGTGACGTTTCACGACTATGATTATAAAGGGAAAGAAGCACCAGGAGCAGGACCGCATGGGTTGGGTAATAGAAATGAGACAGGAGAAATATTAATTAAATTTTGTAAGGTAAGCATGATAATAAGTGGAAATGTGTGGTTTAAACCACACCCTAGATGTCTTTATACATGGATAACCCTCGGCTTCGCACAAGTTAGGTATATACTAACACAGGTAGCCACCTCAACCTAACCTAACCTTGACTGTCACAGTTTGCCCTGCTTGACTTGGGTAACCCCCTCCCGCAATCGATGTGGCGATTATCAGTTATGGAAGATTTTTGTTTCTTGCCTGTACCAACCGTGTAATTTGCGTGTGAAACTTCAGGTCTTTTAACTGATTCCGTTTTGAGTCACAGCTGGAACAGACCCGGGCACAGGTTATCGACCCACAACGGGGCCTGGGGAGGAATAAATAAGAGTAAAAATAAATTAAAAATAGAATAGAAAAAAGACTGTATTAATCTACACCACGAAGATGCCGGAAGACCAGCTTTTTGAAGCGAGACAGATTGTATGAGTATGGAAACACAGAAGGCAGAGCATTCCACAGCTTGACTGTGTGAGGAAAGAAGGGTGTACTATAACGGGTTATTCTAGTGTGACCGACATCCACGGGCAAGACGTGTGTTACGAGCCCACGGCCTTGCCGGCGGTACACAGGATGCCAAATCTACCGAACATTGCCCGTTAAAGTACCTGTAAAAGAGAGAGAGAGTGAAGCAACATTACGGCGAAGAGAAAGGGAAGAGAGATTGTCGACTAAAGGAGGAGAGTTGATAAGACGAAATGCCTTTGACTCCACCCTATCTAACAGTTGGACACAAGAAGAGCCACCCCAGATATGGGAGCAGTGCTCCAAGTTAGGACGAATGAATCCCTTATATACTTGAAGCAACTGCTCGGAGTGAAGTAGCTACGGCATCCGTACAGCATTCCCAGCTTTCGGGAGGCAGCTTTAGCAATGTTGATGATGTGTGGCTTCCATGACATATTAAAGGAAATGGTGAGGCCTAGCATATCTATTTTAGAATTTGGCAAAATGATTGCGTCCTGAAATGTGATTGGTGGGAGATCATCTAATTTTGAAAGTGTAATTGGTAAATACTGTGTTTGTTACTATTGAATTTAACCAAGTTTCTACCTCCCCATTCAGAGATGCTGCATAGATCTGCATTGATAGATGAAATAATATCAGCTCTAGAAACAGATGTAGTTTGAGAATTAGGGGGAAGGGGAAAATGTGAGGAGTGAAGTAGAATCATCAGCGTAAGAATGTATAGAATTAGTCGTAGTGTGAAATAGATCATTGATAAAAAGAAGGAAGAGAGTAGGTGAAAGCGCAGAACCCTGTGGGACACCACTATTGGTAGAGAAAGAGCGAGAGATCGATCGCTCGACAACAACTGCCATGGATCGGTTCTCAAGGAAGCTAGAGATTAGAGAACAAAGTGGGGGAGAGAAACCATATGAGGGAAGTTTAGATAGCAAAGATATATGCCATACTCTGTCAAATGCTTTGGAGATGCCGAGGGCCACGACGAAAGTTTCCCCATAATACCTAAGAGAGGATGACCAACGATGGGTGCAGTAGGAAAGCCATACTGGTGATCCAACAAAAGAGAAAGACGTTCAAGGTGAAGGAGAAAATGAGAGTTTAAGATAGTTTCAAAAATCTTAAGAGAGGGATGAAGTTGGGGCAATGGGGCGATAGTTAGAGGGATTGGAATGGTCACCCTTCTTCGGGATGAGCTACACCGAGGCAAGCTTCCAAGAAGAAGGAAAAGTTTGGGTTTTGAGGCAAAGGCGAAAGAGGCGAGTAATCACAGGGGCCAAAGTTTCAGCACACCCCCTCAGAACACGAACGGGTATTCTGTCCGGTCCATGCGCCTTACTCACATCCAACCTGGATAACACACCCACAACCCTACGTAGCAGCCAGGTCAACTGGTACGTTGGCACACAACCTAACTTCTTCCCCTCAATCCCTCCTTCCCGCCGGAATGTCAGCAATTTTTAGCCAGAAGTTACAATTTAATTTCGGAAAGGAATAGAACCAGTGTTGAACAGTGCTTAAGCCAGTGAAAACAATGCAACATAAGAACATAAGATTGGAGGAAACTGCAGCGGGCCTATTGGCCCATACTGGGCAGTCCCATTTACACCCAACCCTATTGCTCATATATCCATCCAACCTATGTTTGAAGCTATCCAGCGTATTCGAGTTAATGATGATATTTGGTAACTAGTTCCACTCGTCCACTACTCTATTTCCAAACCAATGTTTACCTATTTCGCGCCTAAATCTAAATTTGTCTAATTTAAAACTATTGTTACGAGATCGCTCCTGGTTGGATAGTTTGAGTACCTTGGTAATGTCCCCTTTGATCAGCCCTGACTTCCATTTATACACCTCTATCATATCACCCCTCACTCTACGTCTCTCGAGGGAGTGCAAATTAAGATGCTTTAACCTGTCTCTGTACTCAAGGTTCCTAATGCCCAGGATTAGTCTTGTCATTCCCCTCTGAATTCTTTCCAAGGATTCTATATCCATTCTGTAATACGGTGACCAAAATTGAACTGTGTACAGTAATCCAAGTGAGGTTTCACAAGCGCAAGATATAGTATTAAGATGCCCTCGCTAGTCTTGTAACTAACACTCCTTTGTATAACTCAAGTACTTTATTAGCCTTGTTTCGAGCAAATACACATTGCTTACTTGGCTTAAGATTTCTGCTTATCATTACTCCTAAATCTTTCTCGCAGTCGGATCTCTCAATAACATCGTTGTTCATCTGGTACCTGGTTTCCCTGTTTACATCTCCTGTACTGAGTACTTTACATTTTTCCACATTGAATTTCATCTGCCATTTTTAAGACCATTCGAAATTTTTTTTTAGATCTTCCTGTAGTTTTGCGGAGTCCTCGTCAGATTTAATTACATGCCCTATTTTAGTGTCATCAGCAAATTTGCTTATGTCGATGTCTACGTCGTTTATGTATATACTAAATAATAATGGTCCAACAACTGAGCCTTGGGGAACTCCACTAGTGACGTTGCTCCAATCGGATTTAGTGCCGTTAATGCTCTCTCACTGTTTCCTGTCCTGTAACCACGCCCTAATAAATTTTACCTTCTTTAATGCCATGAGCCTCCACTTTTCTTATTAGTCTTTCGTGGGTCACTCTGCTAAAGGCTTTGTTAAAGTCGAGATATACCACATCATAATTGTGCCCCTCGTCCACTAATTTGAAAATAGATGTAAAGAATGTTAATCGATTAGTTAGACTTGAACACCCGCTTGTGAAGCCATGTTGGGAATTATTGATCAACTTGTGCTTCTCCAGGCGATTTCTATTAGAGTTTAAAATGATTCCTTCCATTAATTTGCCTACAATTGTTGTTAAACTGATTGGACGGTAGTTAGAGGATAGTGATCTATCTCCCTTAAAATTCGGTATTACATTCGCTATCCTCCAGGATTCTGGTACTACACCTGTTTTTAAGGACATGTTAAAAACTTTGCTAACTGAATACCTGTACTACGCTCTTCCTTACATTCCTTTAATACTCTGGCAAATATCTCATCGGGACCTGGTGACTTATTAGGCTTTAGTTTGTCTATTTGCTTACTAACATCGTTACTAGTCACTGCTTTCTCGCTTAATTTATTTTCTTCACTATCTCTGTATAGATTCGGTGGCTCGGGTATCATGTTTAAATTTTCGGTGGTGAAAACTGTTGAAAAATATTTATTCAGATTATTGCTCATTTCTCCATCGTTATCAATTAGCTTGACGGTGTCTTACTCTATTGGTCCAATCTTTTCTCGTGCTTTATTTTAATATATTTTATAGAATCCCCTGAGCTTTTACTTCGCCTCCCTTGCTACCTTCAGTTCATTATTCCTCTTTGCTTATTTTATCTCGGTCTTAACCCTACCGGCCAAAACCTTATAATAATCTCGGAGGTAAACTTCACC